CAGCCCCTTTGTCCGGCCCCCACGCTGAAGGCTGGGATGGGTTTGCTTGGCGGCGGCGGGGGTGTTTGGGGGCATTCCCGCCTCGTCCTCCCCATCTGCTAAACCCATTGCGGGGCAGCGCAAGGAACCCGATAGCTGGGGAGCTGCGCAGAGCTGCATCGCTGCACACCAAGGAAGCGACGTGAGCTCCAGCCCCATCACCAGCTTCCCCCTGCTCGGGGGTACCTTATTACCTATGTAAACCCGAGACCGGGGCTAGCTGGGAAACTACAGGCTTCCCGCTGTGAAATGTCAGTCACAATTTATTTGGATAAATCTGCAATTTTACGTCTCTAAACTTGTAGTGGTCTGTTCCTCCCCAGAATACGATTAGATGTTAAAAAATGAAACAGAATGAAAAAAAACAACCCACCCTCCCTAATCGGATGTGGATTTCTGGGCAGCAGTGAATGCAGTTGCTTCTTTAAATTGCCTCAGTGTAATGTACAGAGCAGGAATCTCAGCCGTGAGTGAAAATACGATTTCATAGCAGGGACTTTTCAGCGTTGCTCCAAACTGCCTCGCTCTGCGCTGATGCCGCAGCCCTCACCAGGGCTGGTCAGGGGGCTGTCTCTGAGCAGCTGCTGGCAGTGCCACCCTCTGCAGTGGCTCCGGGCAAATCGACCCAGGGTCCCCTGGGATGCTGCGGTCGGGCTGGCATCCCGCCCTGGAGAGGCGGCGAGGCCGGAGCAAGGCTGTGCCTTTAAGGGGCTCCGGAGTCCCTCCCCGGCTGGCATTTGCCTGATGGCTCCGGACAGCTGCTCTTTCTCTCCTGCTTTCTATCACTTTGACCTCTAAGGCTGGAACTGTCACTGAGGGGCTTAAAGTTTGTTTTTCAACCCATTCCGGAAACTCACAATCACATACTTTATCCGTGGATTTGCTTAAATATAGAAAATGTCCTGCCTTCTCCCCAGCGAATTAAATAAATACATAAGTATGATTTATCCAGTGATTTGTCTTAGCTGCTCCAGTGGTGACCCATATAATGTGGCATTTTCTTACAAGTGCATTTACACAGCTTTTGCAGCCGACTCACACTGCCTTTCCGTTCGCCTTGAACTCATATTAGGTAGCGTATTAGCCCGCATTTTCTAGCAGAGGGAAAGCACATGTCTGTGTTCTGTGGCAGAATGTGCCCCAGCTCCACCAGCCACCTGGGCCCTCTCCGTTACACCAGGGACCGTGGACTCCCAAAACCCGCTCAGACACATACTTGCTATCTGACCAGGGAGCCCTGTGTACACCACTTTGAGATGTTTCTCCTCTTCGTCTTACAGATTACGCAGTTGAAGATTGCCAGCAACCCTTTTGCCAAGGGATTCAGAGACTGTGACCCTGAAGACTGGTAAGGCTGTGTCCTTATTGATTATGATTGCATCCCACTTTCATCCCCAGTTTTGCTCGCACCTGCCCAGCTTACATTTGTACAGGGCTTGCATGGTGTTTGGGGTACACCGGGTCGGGCCCCGTTTACCAGCTGTAGCTCCCACCAGCAAAGCTCCAGGTGCTCATTTTTTTGGACCATTGGTTCTGTATCACTTTTCTTCTTCTTCCAGGCCTAGGAATCACAGGCCAGGGGCCCTTCCTCTCATGAGCGCATTTGCCAGATCCCGGAATCCAGTCTCGTCTCCAGCCCACCA